CTTCTTCATTTGAAAGAGGCTATTTATGTTAAGCCAGGGATCAGCAGCGTTTTCCAGTGAGTTTTCCATTCCAGCCAGAATATCCTAGCTCAAGTCTGTGGTAGACCAGCACTAGGACTCAGAAGCCTCCGTGCATCTCCCTGCCCCCAAATTGTGTGCGGGGGGTGGGGGGGGAGCAGGGGGAAGGGCAGAGGCGTTCTAAGTAGGGGCGTGCCAAGCAGGCCTTATTTGATTCAGACTCAGCCCGAATCAGGGACAGTGATTCGATTTGTTGATTCGGATCACTGTCCCTGATTTGATTCAGCCGAATCCAAATCTGAAGATTCAATGCTGATTTGGAGAATCAGCGATTCGGACATAGACACAGCTTTTAAAGTTTTTTCTACATACCTTGAGGTAGCAGGTATAGCTTGTGATCGCTGCAATGCTGGGGTGCATGGAGCATCCCACAGGAGTGCGGGGGGGCTCTCCTTCTGGTCTGCTTCCAGGTCTGCTGGGGGGCATGCTGAGGGGCTCCCCCACGCCTCCCCAGCTCGGCCCTATACAACCCATTACCTGGCTCACTTACCTTGGAAGAGTAGATGGCAATTGGATTTCGTGTATTTGGCAGGAAGTAAACATTGAACTGCTCAGGGATGTCACAGACAGCAGGAATTTTGTATGTATCTGGACCCAAAGTGTACTGCTTTCCTTCTGGAGAAACTTTTATTTCTTCCATTGTAAAAAGTCCTACCCCTTGAATGAAGCCACCTTCAATCTGAGGAGAAGAATGGAAAAATGGGAAAATAGTAGGGCCGTGCGAAATGGCACTGTTCCGTTTTGTCTTGAGTTTCAACAGTTCAACGGAACAGCCTTCTGTTTCGAATTTCATTTAGATTTGAAACAGTTGTTCCATTCTGTCAAAGCAGAAAGGCTGTTTCAATGCTGTTTCAAAGCTTTGCTGGGCATGGGAAGTCTAACTTCCCATCTCCTGCACTAGATCGCACCCGGGGCAGGGAGGCAGCACATCCCTGCGCTAGATCACCTTGCCGCCCCCTGCTGGATCTTGCACCAGGGATGGGAATTTAGCCCATCTGGACTGACTTCCCATGCCCAGCGCTATGGTCAAAATGTTTTGACTTTCCAAATGTTTCGCCTAGCCTCATTTTGTTTTGAGGCTATTTCAACAGCCTTTGTTTTGTTACGATTTTGCTGTTTCAACCTCAAAATGAGTCAAAACAGTGTCGAAATGAAACGACCATTGAAATTTTGCACAGCCCTAGAAAACAGTATCATCCATTTAAAACGTTAAAAACTCATTGGCAATTTAAGATTTAGATCCACACATTCTTTTCCCCTCCTACTTTCCCTTTGTGTTCAGAGGCATGTCCTTTCCCACTGTTTCCCTCTCCCCTCCTCCTGCCACTGCTGCTTTCCCCACAGTCCCAGGGGCAGGGAAAGCTTCAGAGCTGCTCCGGCCCCCTCCAGTCTGGCTGCATGGGGACTGGGCTCAGCTGAGACAGTGACAGCGGAGGCAGCAGTGGTACTTGGGGGAAGGGGGATTTCCCCTCCCTGTGCCTGTTCCCAGGGGACTGGGCAGGGTGGGTGAATCCCCTCTGACCCATCACCACTGCTGCTGTTGTGTCATATTCCCAGCTGAGCCTAGCTCCCACACAGCTGGACTGGAGGGGGCAAAAACAGCTCTGAATCTTCCTCTGCCCCTGCAACAGCAAGGAAAGCAGCAGCGGAAGGGACATGGGGGAGGAGAGGGGGGCTGGGAAAGGGACGTGACTCTGACCACAGAGCGGAAGCAGGGGGATTCTTACCTGTTTTCAGGACCTTAAAAAGTTCCTAGAGGTTCCCTGTACCTAATCTGCCTTCAGCAGTAGGTTAGCAGGGGAAGTTGGGAGTGGTGGGTGCAGCCACCCCTGCGGCACAAGTTTCTGTTCCTTCGCACTTCTTTGCCAAATCCTGGATCCACCCCGGGCAGAGTTAATGGGGGACAAAGTTGTCCTTGTCTTAATTGCACAAAGAATTACACTTGGTCAGAGTCTGTTCTGCCTTTTATCAGGGTTAATCCAGAATAATATCACTGGAGGCAGTAGAGTTACTTCAGGTTAATATGGGTGTAACTGAGATCAGAACCTGCTTCACTGATTTCAACAGCTTTACTCACAGGACTAATACAGAGAAATTATCTCCATACTGGAACATAGGGGGTGCATTTACGTGTGCAAATAGTGTGACTGGGTATATTTCGGCTCAATTTAAGGCAGACTAAACTAATCAGGACCTCGTCATCTCCATGTGGTTTTAAGTGTAGTAATTTAAACTGCTGCCAGATACCACTTGTATTTGATGGGACTATCCAGCAGCACAGTTAGTCTACCACACTCTAATTGCTGCAGGCAAGTAGATGGTGACACTTTACTATGCAGCAAATTAGTCTGCTGCACAGCAGAAAGTCTTGTGTAGGCATGCCCAGGTCGTGTTATTGATTTAACACGCCTTAAAAAAGCAAGCATGGATGGCAATTCAAATCTCTTTCTAGAGAAGTGGTCACATATTTTTAATTGATAGGCTGGATGGAAACTGAAAGCAGGCCAAAGTAAAACCTATGTTTGGGATGTACAAAACCAATGGAAGTGCATAGGCCTATATTACTGGTGATGGTTGTTTTGTAAGTTGGATGTAAAACTTGAGTAAATGCTAAAGTATGGTACTAGAACAATTTGGCAATTGTTTTGAGTGAATAACAGGTGTATTTTATTACTAGAGGGGACATAAAGAAGATGCAGGAGCAAGAAATTCTTATAATACAATGTAAATAAAGACTGGCTTATTTTTCCGTTTACATCACCCTATTAGTTGCTTTTCCTTTGCCATGTTCCCTTCAACTCTATAAACAACTGACATATTTATGGGTCAGTTGCACGACAACTGACTACTATATCCATGGAAATTACACTGTTCTGCCATTTATGCCATTCTGTCCCAAACAATTGGTACTAACACAGCTTTTGTCATTGCTGACTTTGGTCCAGCGTGCATATATTTGAATTAACACCACATAGTCTCAGACCTACCATTTAAAAGATAGATCTATTCAGGACCAACAGATTTTTCTGAGACATCAAAGTTCCTGGAAGGATGGTATCAAATCACAGAACTGTGAGATAAAAGTGAATTTGAATTCACTCTGTATATACATATAGATATATCAGCTAGTTGAATTGAGACTACAACACAGGCAATATATAAAAATTAATTTCCATTGTGTCAGGCCTCTGAAAACTTATTGCTAAATTTTGGTACCACTGACATCAATTTTGTATCGCAATAAACACAAGGAAAGTAGGAGTTGTCTCAGTAATTACAATAGTTTTGATTTCTTTGTAGGCCAAGTTTAGAACAAACAAGAAAAAGCATTAATTTAAATCCTAGTCTTTCAAGATGTCTTGGATCTCCTGATAAATTGTGATTGAGTTTATAGGATGTGGAGTTACTTAGCATATTCCAGAAGATACTGGATGAGCAGTTTACTGAATCTGGTATCATTAACATGTGTTGATGAAAAGTAAATACTGCTTCATTTTGGGCCCCAGGCCTACATGCATTAAAGTGAATGAATGGATTCTGTTAGATTCAATAGACATTTGATTGACCCATTAATGGAAAACACTTCAATATAAAGACAAATCTGTCATTAATATCTACTGTAAAGCAAAAATAGGTTTGTAATCAAACATACCTGTCCTATATCTACAGCAGGATTTATGCTGAAACAAGCATCCATGACAATGTCTGTTCTGATATTCTGTTAAATAAATAAATCCGGCATCAGATCATATTCTACAAACAATATAAACAAGAGTTTTTAAACCGTGTGCACCTGCTACATATAAGAATATTATGTGCCATTAGCAGAAGTATTGCAGATTTAGTCACTCCATGCACCAAGTTGTGTGCATGGCACTACAAGTAAAAGCAGATGTTGGATTTCTCCAGGGAAGAAACCTTTTATCCCAGCATCCTACACTATCTCCTGGGCCAACAATCAGATGAAGGATAAACTCACCATCTATTTTCATCCTATGTTAACCGTAACAGGAATATATTTGAAGCAGGGGTACCTGGGGAGTGATCTTTGTTCTACATGTACAGAAGATACATATTTGCTGGTCCCAAGTCCCAGCCAGGTCTGCCCGTGGGTGTGAGAAAGTCCATACACACTGCATTAGCACAAGGAAAGGGCATGCTTGTTCCACTTCTGCAGCTGGATAGTGTTGTTAGAGGTGTGGTAGTTGCAGGTCCTGAGTGTATTTACCCAGTGTCCCTGGAAGCTTTTGTCATTTCACAAGGCAATGACTTGGAGTTGCTGCTGGTCTTGGACCCCTCTGCACTGGCTTACTTCATGTCATAATAGCTTATATTGCTTCAGTAGAGGCCTTTGAAATAGGGGGTGTTACTAATTGTCTGGGCTTATGTTTTACAGAGGACCCAAGTAGACTAGTTCAGTCTGTCAAGTCTAATTTCAAGGCCACAGTGCCAGATGGATATATTATTAGCTATTCTTTACTTCTGCTATTCCAATGCACTTCTTAGCCTTAATTCTACTACTTAACAACAGATTTTCTTCTAAAAATGTTTAACAATATCAGGTCTTGGCAGTGCAATCATTTGGCTGTTAACTGAAAGGTTGGTGGTTCAAGTCCACCCAGGGATGCTGTGTGTTATTGGTGAGAAATGTACTATTTGCTTTTGCACTGGTACAGGCTGGGGACTGACTGGCTAGGTAGCAGCTCTGTAGAGAAGGACCTGGGGGTTACAGTGGATAATAAGCTGAATATGAGTCAGCAGTGTTCCCTTGTTGCGAAGAAGGCTAACGGCATACTGGGCTGCATTAGTAGGAGCATTGCCAGCAGTTCAAGGGAGGTGATCCTTCCTCTCTATTTGGTACTGGTGAGGCCACATCTGGAGTACTGTGTCCAGTTTTGGGCCCCCCACTACAGCAAGGATGTAGACAAATTGGAGAGAGTCCAGAAGAGGGCAGTGGAAATGGTTAGAGGGCTGGGGCACATAACTTATGAGGAGAGTTGAGGGAACCGGGCTTATTTACTCTGGAGAAGAGAAGACTGAGAGGGGATTTAATAGCAGCCTTCAACTACCTGAAGGGTGGTTACAAAGAGGATGGGGCTAGACAAGGGGTTGGCAAAATTCAGCTTGCCAACTGAGTGGATCTGGCGTGCAGGCAGGCACCCACCAATTAATTGGATCCGGCCCTGCTGGCGGCTGCTCCTGCTGCACTCTGCCTGGAGCCGAGTCCCACCCACTCCTGCCTGGAGATGCGCATGCTGTGGTGCTCCCAGCCCCCGGCCACCAGCAGGTGCAAGCCTCAGCCAGCAGGCACAGCTTCCAGGCAGGGCTGCTGCTTCTGCAGCTACCCAGGTAACTGCTGGGCTCCCCTGGCCTCCAGCCACTTCTCCTCCTGTCCCTGCTGCGGTGCTCCGGGCAGCAGGTAGGGAGAGGAAGCTGCAGCATTGAGGGGAGTGGGGTGGGGTGTGGGCTCTGCCTGCAGCTCCCTTTCATCCTGCTCTTGCATGGCTGGGCAGGGGAGTGTGTGGGTGGAGGTGGGGCATGAAGGAGCTCGGCTGCTAACAAAGCCCTGCCAGGCAGGCATGGGGACAGGCAGGTCAGATCGAAGCAAGAGCCACACATCCCACCACCGGCATACCCACACCCCCCACACCTCCCGCCCCCGCAACATAGCCACACACACACATATCACACCTCAACTGCA